ATTTGTTTAATGAATTCCTGCTCAGAGTCATACAAATGGTGATTCTGTTCCAGTGTATGGTACTGTTTCTAGACCAGATTAATTTTTGTGATAGTGATGTACATTGTTTCTACCTGCTTAACATACCACTAACAAGAGCTGATGCCATGACTTTGGGAAGAGTACAGAAGAACAGCTCCTTTGCTGCAATAGAACAATATCAATATTCTTGGTATAAAGATTCTTGAAGGCAAGAAAAAATTATGTCAGCCTCAGGGCATGAAGAAGGAGACATGCAGGGTGCCCTGGGTCATTTGGCATCTGTTGTGCTGGTATAAAGTGGGCACCCAATTCATTCCACTGTCTGAGCTTCCATTAGCTCTGGATACTGCTAAAATTTTTTTTGAGTCTGACTTTTGGCAGGCAGTGACCTGGTGCAAGTCACTGCCTTGAGGCTAAAGCAAATTGATTTTGATTTTGCTTTTCATTGAAGGAAACGGTTAGGTATTAATTTTCAAGATTACTATAGGGTTGAGATTTAAATAAAAGTAATTTTATTACTTTTCTAGCAGTGTTTCAGTGCGTATCTCTATTCTGCTACTCTCTTCTGTCTCTTAAACAAAGTCGTCAAATCCAGTCCTTGCCTGGCTAGATTCTTGTGAAATCTGTGGGTTCTTTGATTCTGTTTTACTGTATGTACATCTGAGCACTTCACTGAGTATTGCTTGCCGAGAGGGATTTAAACATTGACAGCATTTGGCCACTTTTGGTTGCCCCTCCGTTACTGCTCCTCTTGCAAACACAGGGACTAAATCAAAGGCCTCTTGTGTTGGAGGAGGGGGAAGACTTTTCACTGAATTTGTTGACTTCTGGTTGATCAGGTCCCAAGCACCTGCTTCTGGCTTCACAGTTTTTTAAAGAGCACACATCTTTGCACTGTAGTGTGGCTGTTGCAAAGTAGAGGAGAAACAGTGTGGGGATTTTAATGACACCTGGCCCCTTACAAGGGCTGTAAGAATAGATACGGAACATTGTGTCCTCTTTCCTCCCTGCTTTTTTTTCTGAAACCCTTAACCCTGTGCTATACTGAGAATGAGCGAATGACTTCTCAGTGAATGACTTCGTTCAACACAGTTTGATGAAGTGTGATTACTAAAAGCACATCAGTGTTTGTGTAGCTAAACTGACTTTCTGGAATGATGCTTTTACCCTTATGTGGTGTCCTTGCTCAGCCTGGGTTTTTGCTGTTGAAGCTGGTAGTTCATCAGCTGCTCAGCATTTGTGGGTAAGCGAGAACACACCTGGCCTCGCTAATGACTACTCAGTGCCACTTAAAGGCTGATAAGAGATGAGGGCTGTATTTACAAAGTAAAAATTGTGCTAGTCTGAAACACAGCATGCAATCGCAATGGAACCTTACTCAGAAGGCAGTTCTCAGCATATTTTAGGATCCCAGGGCCACAAGTGATTTCCATAATAGTTTGCTTACTCACCACTCGTGCTTGAAGCACCAAGATTCGGTAGCTGGTCTCATGACTGACCTTCTGCTTCTGTGAGGACATCTGCCCGACCATCTAGATACCCACCTGCTGCCCAAACCTCTTCCAGCAGGAGAGATCAGAAATTGGCAGTGCTCAACATGAATCTCCTCACAGGATCCTTAGTAAGAGGTGTTAGCTGGATTAGGATCAAAATCCTCTCCTTTGGGCAAGAACCATGTTGCTAACATGCTGTCAGGGAAATGGGAGGTTCAGCTGCTGCGGGAATGATTTCTGATGATCATTAAGTACCATCACATATGAAGCCAAGCTGGTTTGATGGTGTAGGCCATCATCCAATTAAAGCAGCCTTTATGGACAACAGTGTGAAATACATGAGGCAAAGAATGAAACTGTGTGAAATTGTTGAGGTTTTTTTCTCCCCCTAGTTTGCACATTTTACTGCAGGGAGAGAAATGACAGATTCTTGTCTCTGGTTCCAAGTTTATGTCTGATTTGTTTTGGTAGTCTGTTTTATCTGTTTTATGAGGTGTTAGCCTTACAAGAAAGAACTGGAAACACCTGTAGTCTGTTCCCACAAGGTAGTGTGGCATACAGTAGTAATGAAGATTTTTTTGCAGTTGAAGATTTCAAACACTTTTAAAATTTGGCCTGACAAGCTAACTCAAAATGTTGTATTTTCCTTTAATCTGTGGATTTTTTTCTTCTTTTTAAGCAAAATTATTAAAAAAAGAGATTGATACATTGAAAAAGCATTTTGCAAAGCTAGGTGCTTTTCAATTGAAAATTCCTGCAGAAACCCTTCGATGAATTTATAGGAACCTTAATCTGGTCCTAGCTGTTACAGCTAATTAATCTTGGAATAAATATAGCATGAATACTCTATAGTAGAGATGAGGCACATTTATTAATTATTAATAGTCAATGCTGTAAGGCTGGAAGATAAGTACTCAGGGGAAAATCTTTCCTAAAACTCAAACTGAAATGCGCAAACAAATATAGCGGTGGCTATTTTCAGACGTACTAGCAATGACTAGGTGTTTGTCTTCCCCTGACACTCAGAGAGCATTAAGCACCTAATTGCTGTGTCTTTGAAAGTCTCTTGTAAAGGAACTGCTCAGTTTTCTGGAAGATTCAGCTGAACTGCCTACACGTTTGCAATCTTCCACCAATGGAAGGTCACCACAGAAATCTGAGCTTCTAAAAGCTGTGTCAGTTCTTTGACCTCCAAGTGAAAAGTCTGGACTGCTTAATTGCTCAGTGTGTTTTCAATCCATTTTTAACTCTCAAATGTCAGGTCTTAGTGAAACATGTTTGCTTTTGGACACGTTAGCTAAATCTGCATTCCTTAAGGTTTGGTGCACTGTACGAGGAATTTCATCTATGTTTCCCCTTTTTCATTATTTGTATAGTGAAATATGAGGGTTTCATATTTGAAAACTGGCATTTTTTGCCTCTGACTATTTGTTAAAATAGGTAATTGACTTTTTCAGGCAGTTGTAAATGCTGACCTGGTCTGTGCTAGTATTTCAGCCTGGCCTTTCAAAAAGAAGTATCAAATAAACTGTGTTGTGCTCCTGCTAGATAGAAATAGTAAGATACTTCGTAACTCTCAGTTCCCTGGGAACAGTACAGCACAGCTCACTGTCCAGGTTCCTCTTTGCTGTCTGAATCTTCAGCTAGGACTGCCTAGATGCTGGTGGAGGTGGAATGGGTGTGTGAAGAGGTTAAGGAAAGTAAACTTGCATATCTGTGCGTGTTGACTGATTTCCTATCGGTGAATTCATTATGGATGATGTATCTATAAAGTCCTGAAGACTGTATCAGATTTCTCAAATTGACTTACCTTTTTGTGGACAATCCTCGCCCCCTATTATTCAGAGCAAAATGTATAAATAATGTATCTGTGTGATCTAAAAAAGAATGAAATGAGCTAGATATTTCTGGTAAGTTGGTGAAACAGTCATTGCTTTCCCAATCCTGTTTCTTTCTTCTTCTCCCCAAGAAAGAGAGATACTGGGGAGAGGGAAGATGGGAAGAAATGGTGTGGGATGGTTGTTGATAGTTGAAGTTTGGGGTTGTTGCTTTTTATTTTGATTTGTTTGTTTGTTTGTTTGTTTGAGAGCCAGGGTTCCATATCAGTCTGTCAGTGATAGGTGAACTTCAAACAGAAATACATAGTAGTGCTTGTTGCCAATATTGCTGTAAGCTCTATACAGGAGATTTGGAGCAGCAACAGCATATAAGCTGCAGATGATTGAAAATGTTCTTTCCAAGGTACTTGTTTTGTCAGAATTTCTGTTCCAGAAAACTGATTTACACTTACCCCTGATTTTGACTGAATTCTTGAGATGTCATGATTTTTAAAATAATAATTTTCTGTCACCTATTAACAATTCCTACAAAATATCTTCCTCTGTCCTTTCTCTGTAGTAGAATTGCTGTAAGTTACGACGAAAATAGTAGCTGATGTAGGATATTTTAAGTATTACATATGCTTTAAAAAAAGCTAGGTTTTCTTTTTGCAGAATACTGCAGGGTTTTACAGCTAGAATGAAAAGGGTTAAAAACAAAACCTCCTAGTGCAAGGCCTTCCAATGTTGATTATGCTTATTAAAGCTGAATGCTATGCTTTTTGACCAGCTGCTTCTGCAGCACAAATCTCCTTTTAGTGTGGAGATTTTTTGCTTACAGAAAATATCCTAGTACAAATGCTGTTGGCTGTAGTCAGAAGTGGCAGCTGAATATCAGCATGTTCTTTTGTCAATCAAAACATCCTCCTGAACAGTTCAGCGAGTGTTAGCAGGGGATGTGCTAAGGCTCTTGACTAAAATGTGAGCCTAGCTTTTTGTCACAGAAGCATCTGACTTTATTCTCCAGTAGAATAAAAAAAGAAGTGTTCCTGACATTGCAGTGTTTCATTTGGAAAGTTATACGCCAACTGGTAGGTATCTGTACCTCTCTGTGGTGCATTGACTGTCCATAACATAAACATTTCATGGAAAAGTACACTTTTTTTCCCCATCAGATTTCTAGTTCTTGCTAGAAAAGAACAATAGCTTGTGTTCTGAGGATGCTGACTGAGAATACAGTATTTACACATGCTTTGGTTATAAGAACTATAGAAGACACCTTTAAGGAACAGACAATGTTAAAATAGTCTGTCCTACAGTCCAGTATGATTGTTCCCTGGAAAAAAGTGGCTGAAAGTGTAAGACTGAAATGTCTGCTGCAAACTAATCACTAGAGCCTGTCTCCTTTACATTTTTCTTCGAAATATTTGTCTTACAGAAGTAAGACAAATATTTTGTCTCAGCTACATCTCATAAGCAGTAGTAACATCACCTATCCTTATACGGTGCAATTCCAGTATTGTAACAGTATGGAGGTGCTTTCACAGTTTATGTATGTCTCAGTGAAATCAAAATCCTGCTTCCTGTTTTTGGTATCACATACATCTACTAGGATGTTGTTGTCTGCTCTGATCCATATTAACCTCTGCTCTCTGCTTTGCCTTTCCAGCATTGGCTTGAGCCCAACAAGTCCATCGTCAAGCAAATGAAATGTAAGTGTTGCGAGCTCATGTTTTTAAACTGCTTTTGAAATGCCCAGAGGTTTTCCTGTGCTTCCAAGCAGTGATTTAGGATATGCTTCATTTGTTTTGTGGTGCAAATAGGCCCTTCACATCTTATTTGGACTCCTAAAAACCCTATGCTACTCTCACTTCACTCGCAGTGCTCTGCGTGTGAAGAGCTTTCTGTTACTGCTCAAGGCTAGAGCCAGAACCTAGCTGAGTTGTGTGGGGTGGCAGATCTGGTGAGAATCTTTGGGCTCGCGTTTTCAGTCAGACGCAATCAGCCACTGGGAGGCGCAATAAAATGCGGAGTGTGGCAATCTGCTATTGGGTCTTCCTGATTTACTTTCTTCCCACTGCCCCCTGCTTCCTGACAATGCAGAGAATTGGTTTGATGTCGTTGTTACAGTCCAGCAAACTCAAGTGCTGTGGCTGAAGTGGTGAGCTCCTGCCACAGGGAAGTGGAAAATTACAATCGTTATTTAAAAAAGACTCCTCAAAATAGGGCTGTATTATTTTAATTATCTTTCTGAAATGTTATGGTGTGGCTCATCCTTTCCACTAAATGGGCCAACTGTGAAAACTTCTTCAGGAAACAGAACTACTTTGGTATTCAGAAATTTATCTCCGGCAGTGGAAGAGAGTGTTTATTTGGCAGTTCTGGAGATTTGATTTAGGTCATTGAGAGTTGTGTCTTGTTTAATAACAGCTGTTGTTTGTCTGTCTACATAGTTTATGAAATGAAGGAGCATTTTACTTACATACTCTTCACATGCAATTATTTTCTGTTTTAAGCATAAGTACAAGGTATCTTTTGTGTGGGAGGTAATATATTTGTTATAAAATATGGTGAGGCTTAAGAAATTGTCTAAATAAAGTAAAAACAGGTAACCCAGGATTATTAATGTATTCACACATATACCTAGCATACTCAATGTGAACTGTTTATATCTAGAATTTAGGTATCTGGAGTGTTACCCAGTAAAAAATAAGTTCAAGAATGTCAAGCTAAAACTAAGTTGTGCTCCTCTGCAATGGTAGTGAAGGAAGAGAAGAGGGACTGTAATAGTTACAAATTATCTTGATCTCTTTCTTCCTTCCAATCTGCTATCAGAAGTAGAACGAAGTTTCCTCAAAGTATCGTCTAATCTGCATTCATATCACTGTATTCACCCAACAAAGTGTAAGGGCTCATGCTTCTTGTTGCACTTTGCATAGCAACATATTCAGGAACTCTGCCCACAGATACATGGAGAGTGTTTTGATTTATTCAAAACAACTCTATCTGCATATGATCGATGGTACTCCATAAATTCCACAGATGTAGTGATGTGGTGGTCTCATCAGAGGACTGGAGTGGCTTTTGGGGTAGAATGCTAATCAAAACTCTGAAGACTGAAAAATGAATGGATAGAAAAAAAGCAAAATGCAGCTAGTATGAGGTTATTTATCACGGTGAAAAGGACTCAACAACAACAGCAAAAGAGAATGAGACACTAACAAAGGTGCGTTGTTATCAGCCTGAGATTTAGGACATAGAAGTACAATTAACTATGTAATTGGCTTTTCATGAGCAACTTCAGTTTAATACCAGTGTGATTTAACTTTGTCTTTTGTCGCAGATGAAGGACTTTAGTTGCTACAATAACCCTTTAAGGAAACAAAACAAGGAGACATATATTTTATACACATATGTAGAATCCAGGTAGATTATGCATAAATACATCTTAACAAAGTTAATTCATATTTTGTCTAAAAATACTGTTTACTCTGAAAGGTCTTAGACTCCGAAGAAGAAATTACCAGTATTTGTTTGAAAAGCATTACAGTCTCAAGTGACACAAGTGAGGACTGAAATGAGTAGCAGGTGGAAAGTGTAAGAACTGAAGCAATGAAGTGACAGGTTAATAGGACATACATTATGTATGTATGACTGCTGGGAGAAACGATGGCAGAAAGTTATTCACAGTGACTGTATTAGATGGATATTTCCTTTTCTTTCTTTGCCATTAAGGAATTCAGAAAGCAGTGAAATGATCTGTTTTGTAAGAATGGACTTTAATTTCCTTTGGTGCAAGAGTAGGTCGTATTAATAGTAATGATTCAAAATGTTCTAAATTCAGTTGAATGCTCGGATTTACATAGGATTATGGAGCACTTGCATACATGCAGCAAAATGTGAAAAATGCTGCATGCTTTGTCTCAGCTACCATTTGTGGAGAACTTCATTTTCGCCCAGCATGATAAGAAGTTTTTCAGTGTATTTATTCATGCAGCTCAGTACTGACAAATATTCAGAGCAGGAAAGGAATGACTGAGAGTGGTGTACTAATACACATTTCAGTAGGTACTAGATTTCGTGTGCCTCAGTAGTACATGGATAATTCAGGCATAATCCCTCTATGTAGTCAGGCTGTACAGAAATCACAATTTGACAGCTATACGTTTCTGTCAGTGGGATAAAATGTTTTATGTTCGAAGCTCTGAAGTCTGTGTAGGTTGTTGTGTGATATGCTACCATTTTAATTTCTTTAGCTTTGGCAAAGATTGCTTTAAGTTCATATTTAGTCATATTGGGATAAGACAGAAGGAATCTTTCGAAATATTTTACGTTTGTCTTATCACATATGAAACTGTATTTAGATGTGTCCTGGTGCAACACAAGAAGAATGAAGGTATGGCATCTTTTTTGTCTCAGCATCTACCTTTGCATTTTCCATCTCCAGTGAAATTTTTGTGTCGTAACATGAGGTGTAAAGTCTAGGTCTGTGCTTCAGCCATTTTTACCACTAATTTTGCCTGAGAGGGGAAATTTTAGTCTCTGACGGATGTCCTGAACCACTGCCAGTCTTGTTTATACTGGTTGAAGCCAATTGGTGGCCAGTGATGAATAGCTGTGAACACCATGCTTCCAGTAGAGTGTTGAAAAATTCTCTGGAAGGTTGCCTAAGGTAAGTGCATCTTTGTGGTCCTAAAGACCTTTTAAAAACAGTTTTTCTGTTCTTTTGCATTTTTTTTGTGTTTGGCCATCTTACTTTTTTTACTTCTTATCTGTCTAGGAATGTCTTGGTGTAAATCCTACTGGTCATGTCAGCACTGATGTTTAAGTAAAGAGCAGAGTTTTCCCATGCACTTTTTTTCATTAATTTTGAAGGGTATTCTCTATAATAAGTATGCAGCTATCCTGTGATTGCTTTGTGGGAAATATCCAACTATGTGGATTTTGTTCTAGATACCAGTGGAACAGAATCAGTTCTGTTGCTCTGATGTGCAGGAGTTCAAAATTTACATGTTTTTGTTGCTGTCTTGCATCTCAGATGATCTGAGAGAGTAATGCAAAAAGGAGGTTCTCCTGTGTCAGGCCACTGGAATTTGTTAAATTAATTTCCTTAATCTCTAGTGGTGTCGTAAAATGTGAAGGGAGGAGGGAATGAACAGAGGAAGCAAGAACCCAGATGCAGAAATGGGCTGAGCAAAACTTTCCAAGGATTCTGAAGTCTCAACAAACTTCTCATCAGTTTTTGTGTCTCAGTACAAACTTGACAGAGAGTTTAATCAAATATGAGGTTCATAAATCCATGCACCATGAAAACAGGAAGTTTTGTGTAATTCTTCAGGCACTAATCCGAATGCTGTATATTCTTTACCTGCGAATCTCGTGAAGATTTAATAACATGCTTTGAAGCATTATTATAACTGGTTGATAAAAATCCACCTTGCCCTGTGTTGTCCCATAACTAATTGACTGCAATGAGGAATTTGAGGTGTATGATAGATCAGTTCTTTTATGCATGGAGAAGTTTTCTGCCTGTCTTAAACGTACTCAGCAAGTGGTATGGATAAACAACTGATTCATTTGGTAACAGAAGAGGTGTATGGAAACAACAGCATATGTCTTAGTGTTCCCTGGAGGTCCTTCAGCAGCATCAGTGAACGTGAAGACTGTGTGAGTATAATTTTTTTTTTTTAAACGATCACTAGCTTTTAGTAGGGTAGTGTAGTTAAGAGAATTTGTTACATCAAGGAGAGATCCAGGAAGCTTTCTGCAATGTTGCATTCTCAGGGCTATGAAGATAACTTAAACACTGTGTTTGGCTTTCAGTATTCATCTGTACTCCATGTTTAATAAAAAAACCCCAGCACTGCTGGTACAGCTCATTACAGAAGCTAGTATTTGTGCTGGATGAAAAGCAGGTTGTTAAAAACAAACAGGAAACCTGCCTAAAAGTGGCAGCTGAGAATCTTCCGCCTTTCTCCCTCTTTGGTTCACACTTCTAAAACTTCAGTCAAGTTCTTCACCAGCTTTTAAAAACAGTTTTTCTCTTACATCATTTTCTTGTTTCAAAATGTCTTTCTGTGAAGAAAATCTAATATGAATGTGTAGTTTTTCTTAGGCTTATCGTTCCCTATAAACTCTTTATCTACACAGAAGGCAAATGATTCAGTGGGCTTTGCATAGAAGTGAAAGAGCACGAGTCCCTTATACAAGGGACTCTGTGTCAAGGGGTGCAGCTCCCATATCCCTCTTTGTTCTGGTCAGGGTGTTAGAGGTTTCGTTTTTAGCTAGGAGATCCTTGCTGTTTCATGTTCATTGGATAGTTTGTCTTAGTTAAATGGAACTGAAACAAACCTTAAAAACATACAGTTGTCTGAAAACCTTCCATGCTGTGCATGTAGTTCCTGCATGACGGTCTAGATCATGACTGGTTTCAGCATTTGATTTCATCTAAATGTGGGGTATTTTGTTCTTTTACCTTCTTCTCTTATGTACTGTTAGCACATAAACTGACAAATTAACAGCCCTTTTGCAGTGGAGCTTGCAGACAGTACTATTCTCCATGCTGACGTTCTTTGAATTTGTTAGAATTGTGAATCTTTTTTAGTGAGAAAGCAAAGCCTGTGATGGTAGAAAATTCTGACAAAGCCTTGGGCATTTAACTATACCAGCTGCTCCTTATCTGACAGATAAATGACCACTCTGAAAGAAAAGGCTTATAGCTGTTATAAAACTGATTATGTTCAGGCTAGTTTTGTGTTGAAGAAATGTTCTTCTGCAAATTGAGTTCTGTTTTGGGAAGGTTTGTTGTTAATGTTTTGACTTTAGTATGTGAGTCTTGTAGTTTAACCTGGTAGTAAGTAGTAGAAAGGGAGTTGTCTTGCTTGACAATCTTGTTTCTTGAGCTGATACAATTCACTGCCTGTCTTGCTTTCCACCAAGAATATAGTGAATGAGAGAATACAAGGTTTTCTTATGTGTATTTCTCCAGTGCTGTAAAGTCTGTAAGACAAAGGCCTTACTAAATGTTTACATATCATAAAATGTGTTTTTGGAGGAACATTAGCCTTACGATCCATTTTAAAATTAAGATGGAAAGGGGATAGCTGTGGTGGTTCGCTCCTTCCCCTTTCAAGTGTTCATTGTTCGTGCCTGGTTTTCCAGCTGGTAAAGAGGAACAGAAAAAGAGGATCCTGTTTCCTTCTGTAATTGCAAGGCACTTTCTTGTCTCATCTCCAGACATGAACGGAATGGAGAGGATCATATTCTTTCTAACATTGCAAATTCCAAGTCAGGATTGTGCCGTTCTTGCAGGTGTTGCTGAGAAAGGACCTCTGTTCAACAGTCTGCAGCAGCCTTGTTTTGCGTTGCTTGCTGCGCTGCTGAGGAGCAATATTGTTACAGAAGCTTGAGTCTAGGAAAGCGTTTGCAAAGTATGCTTCAAACTGCCTTGCCAAATCTTTTGCGTATTCTGTGCATTGGTGTGTACTGTTGCTGTATACTGTCATTGTATATTGTATATTGTCACATACTGTCCTTCTGCTGGAAGGAAAACATCTCCTATTATAACCTTTGCTATTAACTGAATGTGGGCTATTTTTCAGTCCAGTGTGTGCCATCCTCTCCTCGCTACAATACTCTTTGCATTTGTGGTAGCTGTTGCTTTTCTATGGTTACCATGTACTGCAGGAGTGTGGCTCTTATATTGTAACTCTTTTTATTTATATTTTTATATATGTATATATATATATATTTTTTTCTGTTTACCACAGCCAGAGTTTCAGTTGCTTCATTGACATTCATAAATGTGGATAAAATTCAGTACATTTTTAGGGTCTTGCAGTAGGCTAGCTAGGGCCCTGCAGAGCCGTGCACTAGCTGTTCTTATTTCTGCATCCCTATTTTGAGCACAAACTACTTCTAAATCTGCCAGGATATTTAAAAGTCATTTTTTGCTGAGGAAGAGCACTTGCTTCTGGTCCAGGTAATATGATTCCTAGTGTTTTTCTGGGACGTTGAATTCAGTTTACCTTCTAGTTTGCCATTACAGGCAGAGACAACATAAGCGTCCTCTGTTTTGCAGCCTATTTCCAGGTTGCTGCAAGACAATGATGCAGTGGCATCTAAGATGCTGAAGCCACAGAAAGCGGTCTCAGTGTTTCCCTTGCCTTCAGAGGGCTTGTCCAGATTTGGTTAGCTGGAGTGTTCAAACCATCCCTACAGAACACTTAAGGCTTGTTTTTCTTTCTCCATTTTCTCTTGTTTGATTCTATTTGTTATTGTTTTCTTGCTTTCTTCTTTTCTGTCTTTTTCATCTTCCTGTCCCTTCTGACATTCTCCCTTGTGTCTAAAATGAACAGTTAATTTAAACAAGTGAAAAAAAGTGAAATCAGCAGTTTTTATTGAGGCTAACCAGACTTAAAAGAAGTGCAACATGAGGTCTTGAAAGGAGAAATTTCAAAAAGCAATTGAACCCTCCAAAAGATATCAACCGTAAAAAAAATATGTAGTGCATTTTTATTTTCTGTTGCTTTTGTGCATCACATTGTACTATGTGATATCCAGAGATGTTTTTCTGGAAGACTGCAGCGTATAAGTAAATACTGCAGTCAAAGTACCTTAAAAAGTATCATGACTGTTCAAGTAATTTCAATGTGCAGTTTATACAAGCCAGTGAGCTAGTCAGCTTGAGGAGATGGTGCAGTAAAGTGTTCTGGTAGCTTACTGATCAGTGTTACAAATTGCAATAACTACAATGTTTCACCTGTTCTCTTCCTCAGTTTCCTCTGTTATTTTCTTTGCCCTTTTCTTCTGCTTTTCCTTCTTTTCCTCCTGTAAAAGCACCATCTCTTCAAGATTTAGGAAAGTTAGATGGACTGTGTGCATTGAGTATACATGAAGACTAAGAGACCTTTAAAACTTAGTAGAATATTATAGATCTGTACTTTAATATGAATTAAAGTTGCATGGATGCTTTCCTTTGAAAAAAGCAAAACAAAACCCCAAAGCCCCAACTTGTTAAAAGTAAGGATCTATAAATGTTGAGTACTAGTGTGAAAATACAGAAAGTTAATTTTGTAGTTAAATATTTTAATAAAAGGATTATAATTCTGCACTCAGGTCTGTAGGACAGTCTCAGAGGAGCACAGTGATCTCACATTCCCATTTTCTTTGAAGCCTCAGCTTTTCCTCTATTTCTGTCCATCTGAAAATGGCTGTAGTGGTAAACATTTTGGTAAAGAGGACCCTTGCATGGCTTTCTGTGCCAAGGCCCTTGCTGCTTGGACAGCAGTTCTGCCTTGGTGCTTTCTCCATCCCTGTGCTCCCTCTCAGTGTTACCAGCAGGCCTACTGGTAACCATGGCCTGTGTAATACACCTGGGATTCTTCCCTATAACATTTACCTTTTGAAGATGAAATGTTTTCCTCCTCACTTCGAAGTGGAGTTTAAAACATGAACATGACCTGGCTACAGATAGCTCTGAGGGCTCTGCCTGCCTGTGTGTTGTGCCTGATGTGGTATTTTTAAGCCTTCTACTTGGTTTTCACATGTCTCTTATCCTAATGTGATTATCACAAGATGCCTCTGATTAGAATAATAGTCTTTGATTTGCTTTCTGTCCCTCCTGTAATCACTGAAAGATCACTGGCCTATGATTAGGTAATATCTTGAATGCTACCAAAGATACAACAGTGGGATATAAAGCTGTGTTCTTTAATGTAAAACTGAGAGACACTGATTGCAGAACTGAAGTAATTTCTGTAACTGTGGTTTTCTTTCTTTACGTCTTGTTTTTTTGAGAAGTGAAAGTATTGTGCTAAAGGCCTGGTATTGATACCATAGCTCAGAAGTAGGTGATGTAGTCCTATTAAATACTGGAAACAAACAGTTCTGTTGTCTCTAGCTTGATTAACGAAATGTAATTAATGATTTCTTCCATTTTGTAGTCTAGGTATTATGATTATCAGGAATAACAAATATACATAACACATTTGTATCTCATTGTTACAAGGTGCAATTGCTTCCTGTTTATCAATTGCAAAAAACCCCACCCTAAAACCCGAAAAAGCAGCACAAATGTGTTTTGTAGTTCTTGGATCAAGCAATAAGTCTTGTAAGGTGCAAAACCATTTAAAAATTGATTTGCCTAGGTTAGCTGTATTGTGCATGTGCTTTGGCCTTTTTTGTCATATGTTCTATTCTCTTCATATGTGCGTATAAAAGTGGTTTTATTTGAATCCCTGCCTGATGCTTCAGAGCTAACCATCACACAGGCTACTTCGTAAGACTCAAGGCCGCTCGCTCAGACTAGCTAAGGTGATGTTTGTTTGCTACTGTTCTCATGCTTTTTCTTTATAATGTTTCAGCTCATCCGCCATATACCATGTGCTTTAGAGTGAAATTCTACCCACATGAACCCTTGAAGATTAAAGAAGAGCTCACCAGGTATTTTGTTTGTTTGTCTGTGCACTTAACGTACGTCATTAACAAGTTCAAAATAAGACAATTTGTTGCATAAGGTAGGTTTCTCACTATTTATGCTAAAATACTAGAATAGACAGACATTTGCGCTACTGATAGCTTTTTAATTTATTATGATACCTGTGGATTTTTAAAAGCAGTTTAAGGGGACTTTTCTATAAGATACAGAGAAGTAGTGATGTTGTTGAAGAACTTGCAGAGAGACAGGTAATGATCAAATGACTGGGCAAGGGTTATCTTGACTCTTCCCCAGCAAGGATGTGGTCCTGAGTAAATTGCATTTGTGTCTTAGTTTTTCTTCTCATGTGTGAAATAATCTGTGAAGTTCAATTCAGCAACAGCCCTAACTGTTTCAACAACAACATGAATAGCTTCACTGAATTTTCTCTTGTGTGTGTCTTTAGGACCGCAAACAAGATAGTGTTTATGAAGTACTAATGGACCTTTAGCAAAGTGATGTAGAGGTGAAATATATTTATGTTTTTAAAGTACAGCTACTCTGGAGGTTAAGAAGTCTTGTTGCTTACATTGGAATTATGCTGTGACAGCACAGCTGTGCAACAGATCAGTCGTACTTAATAAATGGGACTTTCGTCCTTGCTACTAGCCATTGTGAATATTCTGTTGCTCTAGGTATTTTTCAAGAAATGTGCTTGGGGGAAAAAATGTAGGAAAGTAAAAGCTCTTTTGATCTCTGCACCAGCTGTGCAGGACTGTATGTACGCCATACCATGTTGCTAGCCAGCAGGTCACACCCCTGACTGGTAGTTTCATGTTGCAAAATCATGGAACGCCTGAGCACTTGTTGCTGTGAGCTCTTCGTTGATACTTTCCCCAAACCCTGCAAATTCTTATGCTCTCGAGTCACTTCATGAATGGGAGTGATCTCATTATCCCTGGGCTCATGCTGAAAGTCTCAGGAAAAGCTTGCTTTCTGCTGAATGGTAAGTTTGTGTAGAACAGCTGGAACAAGCAGTTTGTATTATAGCTGTTTATCTTGGGTGAAATACTGAAACTATTCAGCAGGGTGAACAGGTTGTAAACCAGGAAGTTGGGGGATTTTCGTTATTTGTTAATGTTTGTCCTTGGATGAGTGTTTTACTTTTTATGAGCCAAAGTATAAACTTCATATAGACTTTCCTCATTCAAGAGCTCTAATTAATTGCCTGTTTTTTTCTTTTAACTACTTCAGTACCCTCCCAGGAGAAGTTTCACCAAAATGCAAAGCACCTAGAATTAGCTTACTGAAGTGCATTGTGCTGTCAGTATGTTTTAGGCTTTGCTCAACATTTCAAATTAAATTTTACAATCAAGCTGCTGTATGAAGAATGTTTCACAGTCTTTTGTTAAAACTAATGCTATTAAGACCTTAAATGGGAGAAATAATTTCTCCTTTCATATGTCCACCTTGTGCACATGACACCTCTTCGTATCTGATCAGCTTTGTAATATCCCAGTGTTGCTGTTTGGCAAGCTTTGCTTTGTCTCTGCCCAGGTCTGTTTCTTACACAATAACAAAGTATAGGAAATGCTCCTGAAATGAGCAAGTGAAGTGTAGTCATGTAACCTACCTCTGAAAATTTGCTTCATGGTCTCTAAAGCAGAGGGTCAGATTAAAGGTGACACTCTAAATTGGCTTGAGTTAAATTTTCTTACATTGCAAATATTGGTGAAATTCAAGAAGAAAAAGGTCCATTGCTGTTTCTCAGAGGACAGTCATGAAACCTTGATAGCTAGTTGGGTTTTTGGTAGATGGTTTTGTGTTTTTTTTTTTTTTAATTCTTTAAGCTCTGCTCTGTTCACTGGACAATCACATTTGTTGCATTGTGTGCTTAAGATAATTTGAAAGTAAATTAATATTATTGTCACCCTTTGACTTAAAAGTCACCTGTGCTTCATAGCTATGTACACAGTCAGCAGAGGCAAAGTAATAGTGCTTTGCATTTCAGCTACTCTCCGTGCCTATGCATGTCAGAGCTGCTCTCTTGCTTCTTCAGCTGGGTAGAAATCTGACGGGTGTTTGTGGTCTCCATTTGGATAATGAAATTAAGATACAGTAAGACTCATCCTGTCACATTGTCATACTGCTCGCTGGTTCAGAATAGTAATTAACCCTGTCTAAATCCCCCATGTGGATTATTGTCAACGCAGTCTTTGTAAAAGCTTTATATGAATAAATTTTTAATGAAGTACCTTAGACACATCAAAGAAATGTACAGATGTTAAAAGGAGCTGAATTTCCTGCTGTGCTGTGACAATATCTGATATTAAAAAAATTAATCTATTGAGTACATGAAGCTGTGTGTGTATGGGGTAAATTGATTTCTGTGAAAATAGTGTAGCATGGGTAGAGGCACTATTCAGGATTTAGACATCACTTGCAGGAAGAAAATGGAATATTTGTCACCTCAGATTACTGCTGCTTCATTTCTGTCCTACCTTTGGTAGGCTGGGCTGAACTGTACTGCTTGAGTTAGTCTCTGGTTTTACAGGTGGAACTATTTTCAGGAGACTGAGATGGAAAATGACCTAGCTGAAGTCATCCCTCCGTCTGTGATATTACAGAAAAAAAAAAAAAAAAGTGAGAGCCTGAAAATGTGGGAATACCATGTGTTCAGAGGCCAAGAGTGCCCTGGGCAAAGGATCAAGCCATGCACTTGCCTGTCACTGTATTTCGTTCCACTGCTAAGGATGCCTGTGAATATTGTCAGTCACGTCATACCATTCCAGCTGCTTACTTTCATCTTCCCTTGTTTTAATTAACGATTGCTTCGGTAGCTATGCTTTTGATATAAAATCAGTTCTTGCCTCTGGATGTTAAGGCACTTTGAGATATTACTGCTAAATAAGGAATTTCATGGACTCAGGACAAAATTTTTGCCTCTCACCGCAGAAGGAGGTTCTGTGTGGTCCTTGATCACTGTTTTCTCTGGAGTCAGCTGGTGTTAGGATTGTAGTTCACAAATTAACTTCAGTGGCCATGGGGGTTGTCACCTTGAGCTGTTTTGTTTCTGTAAGAACAGACTACAGAAACCCGACTTGTTAACGAAGTCCAAATCTTAATGCACTTCAGTGCTTAACTTTAACTCATCTCCTTGACTTGTGTCAATGTAGGTTTAGAAGATCTATCCTTATTTTTGGAAATACTGCTTCCTCACTGGGGCAGTGAGGCCACACATGTTAGAAATGTGTTTGAGAAAGACTAAAGACAGACTTTTTTTTTCTGATAGTCAAATTAATCAGACACTTTTTCAAATGCCTTTTAAAAAATGTGATGAGAAAGTGACAAGGATTTAACTTATTTTGCTCAAATGATGTGGCCTCTCAATTTATTTTAGGTGCACTGGAGGCTCAGCAGATTGCAACAGAAACAGTGAAAATTGATTTGTTAACAGTTAGTGTGATCTTTTGAACAGAGAGAGGTGCTCAACCTGAGTATAAAAGCGATGTTCCTCTAGACTGTGGCCATCTTGGAAGGTTTGATGACTTCTTCATGTATAGTATGTGGAGGACATCAGGCTCTTCTGAGTGGTACATCTGTGCCTTTCTAGATCTGATTGTCTAGCGCTTATAGGTGTCGTGAAGTCAGAACAAAGTACTTCAGTTTCAGAAAACAACATTCAACCGGCTTCACTGAGCATCGCTAATGAGAGTAATAACTACTAGTTTTTAATTAGGGAATAGCAACATGACAAGCCGGTCCTCACATGTCCCTTGCTCCCTGCCACGTATACCTGTAAAACATAATTTCGGTTTCTTTTCTTGTTAAATCAGCATCTGCTCTGCAGCCTGTTTTTCTGGCTGACACTATACGGGATTGGGGTAGAGGCTTTGAATACGTACATTTTCAGTATTACTGCTAATTTCTTTTTCTTCTCATTTTCTTCTTTTTTCATCTTTTTGGTGCAGTCCAGTTGTTTTTTCCAGAGAGCATGATAGACTTGATGGTGAGAGAGGGTTATCTGTAGCTATGTGTGTGTAACCACATGCAGAAAAAAGGTTATTCCAGAGTTCACTATGATGGTCAAGATCATTCTGCTAGCATGGCATGCAAAGATACAAAATCACCATGAAGGAATTTGTAACTACAGAGGTCATTCAATCCACAGAACACACAGCATCCCACCACACTCTCTGGAAAGCACAGACATTTTTCTTCTGTGCCATTCTTCAGTATGCTTTGATCACAGTCAGGGCCCTGGGAGGGGCCACAGCTGGGAAAGCCAGAGATGCTGTGTGTAAACACAATGGGAACAGTCAAGGGAGAGTGAACAGATGGGTCCAAAGACTGGTCACACTTGGGCACAGATTTTTACTACATTATTTCTTTTCAGTGTTCTTGTTTAGGTAGTGAATAAATCAATGTTTGTTCGTTCTTACGTAATAAAGAAACCCAGGGCCTCATGCCTTCTTATCTCCAAATCCCTGCATTATCCTATGTGTGTACAATTAAAATGAGAGAATATAAAATCATTTGAATTCCCAAAGGAATGATATAAAATTCTACAGATAATACCATATCAGCAGTAATCCATGATTATTGTAGAAAAAACAGACCTAGAAGAGGGCATGGGTGAGTAGCTGGCAGAATTAACCAAAGATGGATTATTTCAATGAGCTTTCATGATGCCCTTTTTTCCTAATCCATATTTCCTAATCCAAGAAGCAGTTCTTCTAAAAGGCTGTCATAAAACAGAGTAATGAGAACTTTGGTACCAGAAAAGCAGATAAAAACATGTCTAACCGGAAGTCATATAAAATGACAAAGACTTGGGATATGTAAACATGGCAAATTCTAGAGCCCTGAGTGCGCTAGCTTGGGTGAGGAAGAACAATACAGCTGCATGCATGCAATGCTTGACTAGTCCTATCTCAAACAGCTGTACTTGATATTGCCTTGTGCTGGAAGAGCCTGGTGCTTTTCGCTCCAGAAGTGGGATGCCAGTTGAGGCTAATAGTGCTGC